AGAAGTCGTCAGAAATTCATATTGTCGATTTTCTATGTTAAAAATTAACAGACATATCATAGTAATGACAATTATAAATGTGGGTTATTGAATTATTAATAATCGATGTCTTTAGTAACACAGGTAAGCCGTCAGAAAGTCTTGATAGGTTGAACCGACAACTAAATTCCCCATTTCTTCCCCCCTCCTTCACTCGCACTCTAGAGCCCACCCACACCTTCTCCGATCGAAGTTCTACTACAGTTCACCATTTCTCGCATTCTTATATTCAAATCAAAGGTAATTTGATTCAATCATTCCTCTAAGTTTTATGTAATTTGAACTGTTTTATTTGTTGTATTTTCAATTTATGTGATTTAGGAAAATTCAAATTCTTAAGTAGTTTTTCAATTTTTTTCATTATGCATGTGATTCATGCATGCTTAGGGCTTCAATCTTAGGTATTTCCCTATTGAACACTAGATTTTTAAGGGAAATTTACATATCGAGGGCACAATTCTTATGTATTTACATATCTTATTTGTAAAATTTTATATTTATAAACATGGCACTCAATTCCTATATATATTTACATATCTAGCAGCTACACAACAACAAGTCTTTATCCCACTAAGACAGTGTTTGGTTGCAGGTTTGATTTACGTTAAATAGGAATTATGAAATCCAATAAATCCAAATTTATGATATAGGGACAGACGAAAGTGACAACGAGAGAGACGACCGAATAAATTGTTTAACCCTCTCCATGATTTGATTCAGTAAATTCGGACTTATATTGGAGAAGAGATGAATAAATTTGATCTAACGGAACACTGGATTTTAATTTTTTTTTTTTTTTTGTGTTTGTTTGGATTTATCTTAAATTCATACCTTAAGCAGTGACATTCGCTATGACGAAACAACCGTCCAAGCCGTCACCTCCCTCTTTTAGTTGGTGATTGCGATAAAAGTCAATTGAAACAATTTTAGATATCTAGCGTTTATTTTCAAAGTGATGGTGATACGTATTGATGGGGATGTTATTAGTAGAATTCAAGTTGTTAAATTCATACCTTAAGCAGTGACATTCGCTATGACGAAACAACCGTCCAAGCCGTCACCTCCCTCTTTTAGTTGGTGATTGCGATAAAAGTCAATTGAAACAATTTTAGATATCTAGCGTTTATTTTCAAAGTGATGGTGATACATATTGATGGGGATGTTATTAGTAGAATTCAAGTTTGTTGGTTGAAGTGGAGGAGACACTACGAGAAGTTTTTAATGCACAGACCACAAATGTTGACTTCATATGGTAATTTCTTTTTTACCTCTTCACAAGTATTTATGCACAAGTTCATATTTGAGGTATCTATTTACTCTAACCACACCTTTTAGATTTTGACTTTAGAATTGTTAGTGAATTATGCCCCCAATCTTACTAGCATTAAGGAGAAGACACCACTGTAAAACATATATAGTTGGTATTAAGGAGAGTTATATACAAACATTTGAGGAATACATCAGGTGAACAACAATATAAATAAAAGACTAAATTACCTTAAGCATAAAAAAAGACAAAATTTCACATAGACTAGGAACCAACTGCTCATCACACTGAAAACATAACTCTTAGGCTCACTCCACCACCACAACTTGATCTATTTGTCAGTCATGTTAGACTCTATTTATTTCATGAAACTTTTTTTCTTAGATTGAAAGGTAACACCTAAAAGTCATACACACATTTATGTTTATTGATTTATGTTGATTGCATTTTATGATGTGTTGATATTGGTGATGATTCAGGTTATCAGTGGATATTTGTACACAAGGTCGTAGATGTACAATAGACTTTATCCCTATACAAAAGGAATCATAATGAGTTCTTGAATGTTGTCGAGGTCTTTCTGACAACGACATCTAATCTTCTGACGTACCTATCTAAGGGTAGGTTTTGGTGTTCATGATCGAAACATAAAAATACAGCACACTTAATGTCACATGAAGTCAGATATGATTTATATCATTGGGAATTTAAACCTAATTATTGGATTTGGATTTCGCATGGTGAGATTGAACCTATAATATGTAGTTATGCTCCTTCAACGAGCTGACCCTCAACCTAAATTTCAATTAAGTTGATTTGAGGAAATGGTCCTCGACGGGACATGACATTATTATCCGAGTTAATTAGAGGAAGAGGCACCGAAACACAAAGCTTAGGAATTTTATGATTTACTCAATGTTGCTCAAAGGCACTTTAGAAGGGTTGCACATCATATTCTGAGTTCTTTGTAACTCTCATAATGATGAAAATTAAAGCTAAGTTTAACATGCTAAAATAGTGTTTCAATCTGATTGCAAGATTATTGAAAGAGACAAATCTATAAGAAAAGTTAGCTCCGGAAGACATACAAAACAAAAAAGCTGGCGTCCAAGTTAGCGCTAAAAGTCGAGAAGATTGATTGTTGCCTGAACATATTTATGTTATTTTACAAGACTAATGAAATAGAGACTTAGGGTCTGTTTGGGGCAGCTTGTGCGTTT